TGCTAGCTTAGCAATAGCTTTAAGTTTTCCCCACGTGATTAAACCCTAATATGCAACCCAGTCTCATGGCATTTCGTGTTCACCAACACGATTTTTAATCTATTGATTCGTGTTCACCAACACGATTTCCCCCTTTTTTTTTCGTGTTGCACAGCACGATTTTAAAAGCAATGTATTTCTACTGGTAATGTGTTTCGTGCCTGCATCACATCTTTTTCTCCGGTCGGGTCTTGGAAGACCGGAAGCTGCGTGGTTCATAAAAACATGTTCTTACTCAATATCAAGCCACAATTATTGCTTTTATTTTAAATCGTATAATTTCGGACTTTTGTTGCCGTCTGTGAGGAAAATAAATGGGGCTCAGAGCCTCAGAATACTGAAATCTGTATTTTTAAAATCTTTTTTTCCTTCTAATTTGTTATTCTTTTCAAAATAACACACTGTTATTTACTCACCAATAACACACAATTATCCTTGCTTTTATTTATTGGTTTAATTCCATAATCTCTGGCTTTTTTGGCGTCCGTCAGGAACTGAATTTAAAAATAAAAATAACCGGAAACAGACGTAGGCCTCTAGGAGTTTAGGATGGCCGAAGACACTACACTACCCATAATCCCCAGCTATCGTTTAGGACTACAGTCCCCGTGATTAACCTTCAAGCTCTGGGATTGGATGTTGGAGTGGCAGTGCGCCAAGGTTACGCCGAGCGGATGACTTTGCAGATTCTGATTAATGATGTGAAATATAAACAACCCTTAAATCAGACTTTAGTTACACCTGAGTAAAATTCAGGTAAGGTGATTGTCAAGTGCCAACAATCAGGAGAGATATTTGATAGTTGGCGCGTCGAAAGGAGCCAGTTGAGGTGGTTCGGGCACCTAGTTAGGATGCCACCTGGGCGCCTCCCTAGGGAGGTGTTACAGGCACGTCCAGCTGGGAAGAGACCGAGGGGCAGACCTAGGACCAGGTGGAGGGATTATATCTCTTCGCTGGCCTGGGAGCGCCTTGGGATCCCCCAGTCAGAGCTGGTTGATGTGGCCAGGGAAAATAAAGTTTGGGGCTCTCTGCTGGAACTGCTACCCCCGCGACCCGACCACGGATAAGCGGGAGAAGATGGATGGATGGATGGATGCTTGAGAAGACTAAACATTTATCTGCAATTGACATGAATGGAAACGAGTAATAAAGTATATTCATTACTCGTTATTCTTTAATTAAAGACTGTATGTTATGGCTATTTTGCACATCCCTTTCAAGATTTCAAGATTTTCAAAGGTTTATTGACATATCATATACACAACTACGGTGTATGCAATGAATGAAAAAGCGTATTACAAGACATTACAAGACATCTATCAATATGTGTGTACCTCCACCATTAAACTGTCATATTCTGCACATTTCTTATACTATCTAAATACATAAGAGTATAATTCATATGTATAATATCAGTTAAAATAAGTGCTTCAACAAAGTTAACATTGCAGGAAAGCAATATATTAGACGTTAAGTACTTTGTCAGGCTTAATATTTATCTGTAGATAGATACTCCCAAAGTGTTTTTCTTATTTAAAAGAAGACCTTAATCTAAAGTATTATTTAATGTTTAAATAAAGGTTAATTTGTTTTTCTGTTTTGCACATCCTCCTATTAATATCTTTGTACATCCTGCACTAAACTGTTTTATTGTAGAGATCACTTATAGTAACGTCTTGATTTTTTATATTCTATATTTCTATCACAGACCTTCTACTTTCCCCCTATGAAAGTATGTTAATATTTTTGTAATCAAATATAACATATTAAAACAATAATTCAATAACGTGCTTTACCACTAGGCGGTGCACACAAGGTACACACAGCCATAATAACTTGGTATTATTAGTGTAGGACACTTATGTATGTATGTACAACATCTGAAGATGTGTAGTTTAATTCATGTTTTCACATAATTTTACAGCATATTGCTATATTATTTCAGACTCAGTATTTACATTCTTATATTCAAAGAAAATCAGTAATATCTTTAAATACTATAAGTCCTTTTATATCAGCTGTGCACCGTTATGGTGTAAATATAACCTATCTATGAATTAGATCAAATGTAAAAGTCAGCCGAATTAGTGTTGAAACTGCAAGGAGACGTATTGTGTGAAGATAAATTGAAGATGTTGTTTAATTGTTGATATATTTATGATCCACGTCAAGTATTCAGTTTCGGCGGCATTTCTTCCAGTTTTTCCAAAGGTCTTCTCATCAGGGCTCTATAAATAAAGAACTACGGCAGATCTGTAATATACAATGCAGCCGAACCGTGTATTACAATGCCGTTATGTGATGACTTTCAAAGAGAAAAGCAAGAACACTCGGAATAAAGTATTATTTTCTTTAAAAAAAAAAAAGTTTTTCGGATTTCATATCGCATAAACACCATTTCCCTACATGCATTGCGGCTAAACAATCCAATCAGCGAGCTTAAACCATAGCTGAGTATCTTGGGTAATCAGTTCAGTGGCTGTGTATCGCAATGATGCTCGAAATGTCCCTTATAGGCCTACGTCTGTTTCTGGTTATTTTTATCTTGAAATTCAGTTCCTGACGGACGCCAAAGAAGCCAGAGATTATGGAATTAAACAAATAAATAAAAACAAGGATAATTGTGTGTTATTGTTGAGTAAATAACAGTGTGGTATTTAGAAAAGAATAACAAATTAGAAGGAAAAAAAGATTTAAAAAAATACTGATTTCAGTATTCTGAGGCTCTGAGCCCCATTTATTTTCCTCACAGACGACAAAAAAAGTCAGACATTATACGAATTAAAATAAAAACAATAATCGTGGCTTGATATTGAGTAAGAACATGTTTTTATCAATCCCACAGCTTCCGGTCTTCCAAGACCCGACCGGACAAAAATACGTGCTGCAGGCACGAAACATACTACCAATAGAAATACATTGCTTTTAAAATCGTTCTGTGTGACACGAAAATAAGGGGGAAATCATGTTGGTGAACACGAATCAATAGATTAAATGTCGTGACTATAACATGAAATGCCGTGAGACTGGGTTGAGTCAAGTACTCAAACAAAAACATTACAAAACAAGAATACAACCATTAAACCATGTTGATGTATACAAAAATGTTCATTTTAAGGCGCTTCAAGTGTGACACATCACTGTTAAAAGCTTTCCATGTTTTTTAAGTCCTTCCTAAGAAATATACATAGAGTTTTCCACATCTGTAGCATGCATCAAGCAATTTTCTATACGAGCCCTGTTTCCTGCATCTCTGCAAACTTCAGGTATAATAGCACATGGATCTATTGCTGCACTAAATTAAACAAATACATATCAAATAAAAGAAACTGAGCAAACCAACAAGCTGTAAATGCATAAATACATAAGATTTCTGAGCAACAGTTGTGTGTTGTGCTTTAAAACTCAAGCAACATCCGGTGTCGTCCTGGCTTTATGGGATGCTTCAGTTTGGAAATGTCAAAAGTAGTCCACCTGAGCAGCATTACTGTCACTTTCACTGAAATGTGGTCGCGGTAGTAGGAGCCGCCATTATGAAAAGAGAGCGTGGTATTTACAGTGGCGACTGGCCATTAGGGGGACAGCCCCACCTAGTGTCAGTAGAAAGTAATTCAAATAATAATTCCAAAAAAATGCAAATATATGCAAAAAAAATACATCTTAAAATATATTTTTCAGATCATGTTTAATCATCTGATTCGTCTGTACATTGCTGTTTTAGTCTGTGTTCTTCTAATTAGTGTCTAGAGTGTGCCTATTGAGCCGTTTTGAGCGACGTGGGTCAAGCCCCGATCTAGCCCCTCTCTCTCACTGTCTAAATGAATGGGTGCTGTAAAAACTACACTGCGCATGCTCAGAGTATTTTTCTAGAGAGAGCAGCGTATAACGATTCAAATCAGTAAAACGGAAAGAAAATGAATGAAGTTGACCATCTACTTCAACTTTGGTAAACTAAATTCATTTGATGTCATATCTTTTGTTGATCTTCTGTGTTTTGCGTATGGGCTATTGGATCAATTGATATTGTGACCTTGGTGATGAGTGTCTGTCTGTGCTCTCGACACATTTAGTGATGTGACTCAGTCAGATCCAGAGGTTACAGAGGCAACGCAGACAAATTATCTGCTCTTATTATTTTTCTACAGTTTCATCATGAACATCTTCAGAGAGGAGAGTGGTATTTGAAGTCTGGACGGGGGCTGGTTCCACAAAGATTGGACTGGCTCAGATCAAACAGTCTAACTTCAAAAAGGCATATAAATTCTTCAGTTGTGCAAATCTTTCCTAATAATCTGAGCGGTCTGTGCGAATGGCCTGTATTCACCCTGACACATGACACTTCAAAACACAGAAGGTTTTCTCAGGAGTTAATGGAGACCAAACCGGAGAGAAGGACATACATTTGGTGCTTTACAGAAGTTGTTTTGCCTAAAATATTTGCTAATGTTGCTCAGGGCCTACTTTAGGCAACTAAGCAAATTGGACAATATTTATAAGATGACAACATTTACTTGTTTGTGTTTTTCAGCTTGCTTTAAAGATCATCTTTATCCTTGTCTTAGATCTGTACTTACAAGACAATTCTCCAATGTATTTAACAAATTAAATAGATCTGGTGTCTTTATCATAACAGATGTTTTGCCCCATTGAAGAAACAATTGCTCAACCTGAGTTCTGTTGCCGGATTAATAATGGGGACCTCATACAATCATGACCAGCGACATAAAGGCAGCCAGAAATGGCAGCAGGGGGGTGATATGCACGCAATTGTTCAGGGTGACAAGTTGATAAGTCAACAGAATTAACAACCCTTAAATCAGCGTGTTTCAAACATGATGATATCTGGTGGACAGCTCTAAAGATCTACATAAATCATAACAAAATGGAACAGACTTTCCTGCTTAAATCAACATATGTTCATGTGTACAGTTCACATTGCACAATTTGACACTGCTGACGTGTTGTCTCTGTAACAACTAACAACGATGTCCATTTTATTTCAAAGTACTCTACCATTATCATGACCATGGCAACAGTAATACAACATTTGTATTGGTTTATTTTGTATAACTGTCATTAGACCAGTCAAGGTGCAAACTTGTGCAACCAGCCCCCAAGGTATAATTAGTGTAAATATGAGTTGGGATGTAATTATGTAAAGGAAGAGAAGCTGTATGAGTGGTCCAGTTCAGCTGTAAACTATGAGTTGGAGATATTCACACCCAGAAGTCTCTGATGTTCTTAAGCTTCACTGCCAAACTAGTTGATCCACCTGAAAATGCAGAATGGAAACAACTGTATCCGTCTTCTAAAGTCAACGATGGGTTTCGTAGTGTTTTCTTTCGCTGCTATAGTTTAGGGTTAAATGCAGACACTCAGCAGTACACACACCAGTAGATCAGGTTAAATAGGATGTATGCGCCAGGGAAGATCATGCGAGAGGAAGTATCGATGGCGTGGGTGTTCTGCATAATCCGGAAGCCCTTCTTCTTCTTGGTCTCTGTAGGCTCGTTGTCCAGCGAGAGATGCACCATTATCCGCTCCGGTTTTTCCGATGCATCATCAGCCGCCATGGAGCCCCGTGTGTACCCTGCCAGACTGTTGGCGTCCGCCTCACTGTACGTTCCGTCCAGCATCATGGTCCTGCCGTGGGACATGCCACAGGTGCAGGGCAGGTTCTGAGACTGAGCAAAAGAGAGGAAAGAAATCAAGATTGATAAAGACTAATATGAATTTGAGACGTACAGCAATTCTGAAAAGGTCTCTGTACCTGTTCCCTGGCTTTTTCTCTGAGCTTACGGTCTTTACCGTCCCTCACCGTCGTCAGGTAGTTGACGGCAGCGTATTCAAGCACCGACAGGAAGACAAAGACGAAACTGACCCAGAGGTAAATGTCCACAGCTTTTATGTAGGACACCCTGGGCATGGAGGCGTTGACTCCAGTGATGATGGTGGACATGGTGAGCACCGTGGTTATACCTGAGGAACACAAAACATACAACTTCATGTGAACATTTGAAAAGCAAACCACAGACATTTCTTTGGGGTGCTGCGGCTTTCCTAGGGTGGCTACAGACCCCCCAGGTCTTTTTCTTGCACCACCTATAGTTCTCGAAAAGGAGGGGAAACACTAAAAACAGTCAAAACTAAAATATAGGAGGAGGAGGTTCCCAGACAAAGAATGGGAATCAGTGATTGGCTATCTCTATAAACATTGTCCATATGTAGAATCTGACCATAACAGGACAAGATTTTGGTATTGGAAGCATTCTGGTTACCGTTTGTAATCTCCAAGTAGTTTTGACCAATCAAAAGGAGTTTGGTTGCATTAAAGTGAACGACAATAGCAGAATAGTCAGAATAAATTGGCTGTGATGCTTCAGCTATCATCTAGCTAGCTAGGCTTTATCGTCGTAATATCGATAGTCTATGAGTTTTGAGATTGTGATTCACAGCTCAATCATGTTTGCGTCTTGACTCCAGCTCCATACTTAACGAGGAAATGAGAATGATATTGATCGTCTCAACTCAGGAAGACAGGAAATAAGTACATTTCCCAGAATGTTGAACTTTTCTTTCAGTTTGATTCCCTCACAGTTCTACTGTGCAAACTGGTCCATGCTCTCAGGTCACTGTGATGTGTGATGGACACAAATAATGTTTGAACAGGAAGGGTGGTTATTGTGTTGCATATCTTCTCACCTAATGAGACCCTGGCAGGGACGGCCCTGCGGTCGATCCAGAAGGACACCCAGGACAGCATGACCATCAGAGTGGCAGGAAAGTAGGTCTGCAGCAGGAAGAAGAAGATGTGGCGCCGCAGGGTGAAGTTGATGTACAGACGGTTGTACCAGCCTGGAGGAGAGAAGAAGTGAAATACAAATAAATGTAATGTCAGAGGGTAGAACAAAAAAATGGTTTACTAAAATTCCTCGATAAACACAGAGCCAGAGGTGACATTTCTAATCCACACAGGATGATAGAAATGTGTATGAGTTTATAAAACCAAACAAAATAACATCGTAATAGAAAAATATATCTGTATGACAGCAGGGCAGCACATCAAAGTAGCAAATGGAAGAATAAACAGGGAGGGGAGTAAAAGAAAAAATACAGAAATATCCCAATGGTGTATTTCACACCAGTGTGGAGTTCAATCAATGTTTATTTATATAGCCCAATATTATAATAATAATAATACATTTAATTTATATAGCGCTTCTCATCTGCCTAGACAAATCTCGAAGCGCTTATCATAAATGTTACATTTGTCTCAGTGGACTTCACAGTTTGTACAGCATATCAGTATGACACTATGAAACCCTCTGTCCTTAGACCAGTGGTTCTCAAACTTTTTCCGTCAGGCCCCGCCTTTGGAGAAAAAAAAAGTCGGGCCCCCCCCAACACAAATAGTCACGTAATGGGCCAAGTTAACATTTATTCACTTTGCTAGAACAGTGATAATAAAACAATGCTCCATAAGTCTGTGTGCTCAAAAACATACATACATAATACAATTGTGCAATCCCTTTGCTAGAACAATAAGTTATAATACTTTTCCACTTTGCAATCTGTGCAAAAAAATGAAAGAAAATGCTGATATTTGGCAGAAAAGTGTGTCTTATCATTAGTGGCTGCAATGAGCCTGCTTTGCACAGCACATTTCTTCAAAACGGGGTTGTAGGCCCAGAGATTTCTTTTGGGGGTGCTGTGGGGTAGCTTGACATTTCATAGAGGGTGCTCAAACATTTAGGGTTTCCCATTAATGTACCGGGCGCTACAGTGGAATTTTCTACTGCAACACTCCCCACGCATATACACAGTGTGACAGTTACAATGAAGGCTTGAGGCATATAGGTGTTGTGAAGTAAAAACTTCTTTGCAGCAATGTTGAGCCGACCATGAAATGAGGGAAACTGGATTCGCCTGTCAATACACTGATATTTATTGAGAGACAAACGGCCGGAGGATTAACAAAGCAACTCGCACTGTTCAATGCAAGCTGCCAAAATTAACTCTAAACACAAAAGACAGAAACATCTCTATATATCTTTTAAAGGAGGGGTCTAAACAGCCCGCCTTTCCCCTAATCGATTACAGATGAACAGACAAAGAAACTGTCTGAGCGGGCAGTAAACCCCCTCCCCCACACAGAAACTCATGTGAAGTTTCTCAGGTCAGCTAAGCATCAGACTAAAATATTCCTTTACAGGTGTAAGCAGGAGTAAAGTGCTATTTTTATAGGTGGTGTGTGCATAGGGGGGTCCGGGGGCAAGCTCCCCCGGGAAGATTTGTTTTTTAAATATTGAAGTTAAAAGCATCAATCTGGTGCACTTTGAGAGCAACATTAAGAGATCTATGGATACATCTCTCAACATCCATATGAAACAGAACTGTAAACAGATTTTCTATTTCTTTATGGATATTTTACAAATCATCCTTTTAAACTTTATTCTTTTTTTACTGTCATATAGTATTTGATACCTGTTTTTCATTTATTCTCTTATTTTTTTATAACTATAATGATCATATGAAGGTGTGCCTCGGAAATAATTGTTTACATTATTGGTGACCAAACCGTTTGAGAGCCACTGAGATAACTTAGACTAAAGTTAACTATCTAAACACTCAGAGAGTCCTTTAGTTCACTGAGTCTCTCAGTCTGACAGGAGAGGACTCTCCTCCACCTTGTTGTTGAAAAAAGTCCTTATATCCGTTAGCGTAGCTCGCTAGCACCAGAAGCTAACAACAACGATCTCCGGTACCGGTGTGCTCTCTCTTTCGCTCGCGCACACAAAATGGCTCGTTCCACACACACATAGCCAAGCTTGAATGAAACACAGAGACCCAGACGTAATAGTGCTGTACTGTATCATATTATTTTAGAATCAATAATTTGTCAAATTATGATTTTTTTGGTTTGGTTTATTTACACTCTGATGGAAACCAATAGAATCTAATATAGAGTTAAATGCAACAGTAAGGTTATTTATATCGTCGTCAACATGAATATTAAAGTCACCTACGATAATGACTTTATCTGTTTTAAGAACCAAAGTTGATCAAAACTCAGAGAATTCTGATAAGAATTCTGAATAAGGACCTGGTGCACGGTACACTGTAACAAATAAGATTGGCTGCAAAGTTTTCCAGGTCGGATGCGTAAGACTAAAAACAAGACTTTCAACGGGGGTATAATTTAATTTAAGTAAACTTGAGTCAAAGATTGCTACGTAGCGAGAAATGTCGAGGCTGCACATGTGTAGACTCCGTGGTCTTAAAATCCCCACAATGCTTTGCGCACGGACCAATTTCCCCTAATCTGTGGCCGAAAATGTAAGGCGGGGCCTCTCATATGACGCACACCTGCACACTTGCTCGCCTGTTCCACTCTTCGTTTTCCGAATGCCAGGAAGCAGTGGCGGCCGGCCCATAGGGGCGCCGCCCCACCTCTTCCCAAAAATATATAAAATTAAAAATATATATATTTAAAAAAAAATATTTACATATTTTTTTTTTTAAATATTTTTTTTTTTAATGAACAAGGTAAATATCATACAATTGGTATCAGTAAAATGTATAATCTACAATAAAATCTCGTTTAAAATGGTGTTACGATGTCTAAAGTTACTGATAAGTCACATGTTTCCTGCCTGGCCTTGCCCATGGCATTAGTTTATCATTACCGGGCGGAGCCCCCGAGCCAAACAGCAGCAACCAGCACGTTGCAAAAGTCTCAATAGTAAACTGTGCCGCCGAAACATAATTTCAGCCAATCAGCGCCGTCAAATATTTTGGTCACGAGGGCGCTCACGTTGGCGCCCACGTTGCTTACGTGCGTTGACGTGAGTTGTTTTTTAGACTCGTGAGTGACCAAGGTGACGCAGTATTTGGATGAGAATGGTGTGCAGGTGGAGTCGCCGGACCTCGGTCCGCACCCAATTCCGTGCAAGAGCTACTCTCCAATCCTTTCGAAAGGAGAAGTTTGGGAGATAAATTGATACTTAAAGACCTTCGACCGGACCAACCCGATTTGTATATATCACAGCAAGCTCGTGAAAAAGACAAAACGTATCAACGAGGCTTCTCACGTAGCTGGTACACCAGAAAGGCATGGCTAGCTGGATGCAAACAGGTAAATGCTATCTTTTGTTTCCCATGCTTGCTCTTCAAACAGCCGGGGACAGATACGATCTGTTCAGAAACGAGACAAAAGTTAAACAAGTACAAACCACAGACTGTCTGTGTACGAATACAGTCGCTGGTTTATTTATGTCTGTAGGCCGTTGTTGTGAGTGTGGATGGTCGGAGCATATATAACGTTAGCTTAGCCAAGCTCCATTCAGAAAACAAGCATTCTAAAAGGTTTTTCGCCTGCTGTCTGTCTGCAGACTTGTCAAAGCATTAATTCATGGTTTTTACTAACCGGTATCAGTATGTTGTTACGTCGGCATCATTTAGAAACGTGTATTACAATTTAATCACGGTAAAATATGTTCATTTTGTTGTAGTTGTAGCTCCCGAGCCAGCGCGTCTTGTTTGAATGATGCGAGTAAACACAGCTGGCAGCCGCGGTGAAACTCGAGCGACTAGAGCGATGCGATAGGAGCGTTTAGAGCGAAGCGAATATTCGCATCGCGTCCGGTCTGAATGCAGCATTAAAGCGAGCTCCGCGCTGCACTGGAAACGCGCCATTACATCACCAGAAGTCCTCATTTAAGGGGTCATTTCTCCCCAAAAAAATTTTTTTACTCACTATATCAACAGCCCCACCAAAAATATTTTCCACCAGCCGCCACTGCCAGGAAGGATTGTTGCCTCGCTTCTGAAGCAAGTGACTCGGAAGACGTGCTACCAAGCAAGCGTACTCAACATTGAGAAACACCCCCAGTCTCCCGGCTGCTCGGGAGTTGCCGGGGGACGGCTAGTAAGAGCTACCTCTTGCCGGTCTGTACCGACTAACATGGGCTTTACTGTAGCTGAGTTACTTTCTAAAATGCGGAGCCGGGCTTCTATGGCTATGATTCCCGCCTCCAACCTAGCAACTACTACATTTAACACATGCAGACCTATCGGTACCAGTAAAGTAGGTAGGGAAGTAACCAAACATGAGACAGTTAGAGCAGGAAATAGCACCCGAGGGTGGGGAAAGAGCCATGGCTAGCTATCAAGCTAAAGTAGCGACCGTTCGCAAACTCGAAAGGAGTGTAGGCAACTGTGGAGTTACAGTCGCTAAAAGAAGGAGAGTTGTGAGTGCTTAAGCTGTAGTAACGTGTGATTACAACGTCAGGCAGCTGCCTTGATCAAGAATTGTAAAACGATCGATTAAGTTAAGATAATATAAGCTATCAGCAGCAGAACCAACACACAGGATAGCCCGGAGGTGACAACAACAACAACAACCGGAAGTGACAACACGCTTCACGCAATAGTGAGGACCGCACAGAACCATTTCCCAGCTCTCCTGTGGGTTCAGTGCACATCTCACTGTTTGAGTAAAACCTCGGGCAAAGCCAAACAGTCAATTTCAGTGCCTTTACATAAAGCTGCACAACGTTTAGCTCAGGGAACAACTTTTATTTAATGTACTTATATAATAAATATCTGTTATTATTTTCAACCCGAACGGTACGTCCACACAGCAGCTTTTCAAAAATCTTGAAAATCTTGGAGCTGGGCGTGTCTGAAAGCTTGGGGATTTTGCGACCAACAACCAATCACATGAATCTCCCGCCCCCGACATACAAAGCAAAAAACCCCGGTTCTTCTCCACTATTTCTTTTAACATTTTGAACATTTATGAGATTAATGTCTATGGTGCTATTTTATGCTACATTCCATGCTGGCTAATGATACTGTCTATGCTTGCTAGCAACGAAGTAAACTAGCAACGAAGTAAACTAGCAACGAAGTAAACTGGATATAAAATCCCCAAACAAGCGAAAACCTACCAGTTTCACCCACTGTCTCTGCCACCTCCCTCCATGCCTGGTTCCTCCGGTTTGTATCCCGGTAAGTAAATAGGGACTGGTCATAAAGAACCGGGTGATTTGCTACCGCAATAACTAACTTCTCCTCCATTTTTGTGGAATATAGAAATGAACTGCGGGTCTGGTTCTCCCAGCTTGCACGCGGTTTGATTGGCTAGCGCTTGAACTGTCAGATTTGCATAAACGGATCTGATTGGCTGACGCTTCCAGCTCAGCCTCAAAAGTTGAACATTGTTCAACTTTGGAATCCTGAACATCCTGGAAATCCTGGAAATCTTCGCCTCGCCCCCCCACAATGCAGTTCGGCGACAAGCGAGGGAAAGTGACGTCATCCCCATTCAAAGTCAATGGGCGGAGACGCGCTGGAAGCGGTGGACAAATCGCCAAAAGCTGCTGTGTGTACGGGCCGTTAGTAGCACCGTGTTTCACCATGGTAACTGTTGTCAGTGTGTTCACGGGGTAACCAGGACAGTGCTTCTCTAAAGACGTTGCTGCTGAATATAAATATAATTATTTGTTTAAAACGACACTTAACTCAGCTAGGGTGGAGATAGGTTTTTTACTTCTTATTTGAACTAAAATAGGAATATGGAATGACATACAGTATATTTAATCAGCTTTTAAGACTTTGGTCAGACACCACATTATGTGCGCCATAATTGTCCTATCCCATTTCTCTTTAATATGCTGTTCCTTTCACAGCACACATTTTCACTTGTCATGGAAGTGCTGCTAATGGCATTAAGGATGGCTCCACTCTATTTAAGTGTCCTAGTGAGTGACACAGAAAAGGATCCTAAAACTCAGGCCTCTAAATGAACTATATCTTTCATTATTGTTATTATTTACACCTGGCATTTCCACATTTGTTGTCACACGGTGAAAATATGTATTTGTTGTTTTCCTTGCTCACTCAAAATAGAGAAGACTAGCAAGCTGAGTTAGACGGATAATCATCTAAGAAGTGAAGTGAGGACGCAATTTGGATTCAACACCATAGAGGGAAATATCGTGAGTAAGTTTGCTGCCTTTATCGTAAATATGTCTGAAAAATAGAAACACTTTAATTCAACAATACAGGCATTGTGGCTTCCTGCTTTGCCTTTGTCATTTATATTCTTTTCTTTTCTATCATGTATTTTGTTTTTGCTATGTTTGCAAAAGGTAATTTTCTTAAATGTTTTATGTGAGGGACTGCGGATGGAAATGAGCTCAAAGCTAAATCTGGCACTGTTACGCTTGATACATTTGAATGTTTTAAGTGTTCATTACTGTGCATTGTCCAAATAAACGATTAAATAAAATGCTCAATTTAAAAAAAATGTAAAGCCAAAAATCTGGAACATTGGAAATGCGAGGATTTAAAACATGAAAGAACAACTGATTATTCAAAATAGAGCCATCGTAATCATAGAGGAAGAAAAGTGAAGCACCACACCATCTGAGTCAGAGACAGAGAAGAGTTCAAGCAGATTGAAGATCTTCAAGTCCAAGTCAAGACCAAGTAATGTCATCACGAAAAGTTTGAAACGTGATAGCAGCACCATATATTAAAATATAAGGTAAAATGGTGAAAAAAACATGATATCATTGTATATATGTTTATAGAAATTAAATATTTGCAAAGAAACACTGGAAGTAAGTAAGACATGCAATTGACAGAGTGCACAAGACAGCAGGTGATATGAAAGCATGTTATGCTAAGTTCATGTCTTTTTCTTTTGCTCATCTTACTGAGGTTCAACTCCAATGCAGTTACTTCAGACTGTAATATAGGGGCCTGATGATCCTATCAGCAGTGAGCTGAAGGGCCCTACTAATTTCCCATGTGTTGACCAACTTTAGTTTGTTTAAGAATATGTAATAAAACACTCCACTCAGCATTATGTGGGCAGCGTACCTGTGCTGCTGTAGAAAGCCAGTCTGGAAGAGGTGTGGAACTTCTGGATGAGGAACTGAGACAGAGAGATCCTGTCGTCGGTGCTCAGAGACTCATCACCGCTCTTCCAGTACAGCATCAGGTCTTCATCTGTGTAAGCATCTGAAGGAGAGAGCAGGGATGTAAGTGTGGCCTGTACCGATAATAACGTTACCCCTGATACTTACCAAATGAATAGGCAGTTTGGCCTTGTGGATTTATTGTTTATCAGTGCATCTGTTTGTCTTTTCACTTTCCATTAGTGAACTTGATCTTTTTGAACCCTTTCAGACTTTTAATTCACCTCCCTACACTCCAATTATGTAGTGCCTCAACTGTGACATGTCTCCATGCTTTAATGTTCAAAAAGCTCTTTATTGTTCTCATACTGCCTGTGCTGCAGCACCTCTTTTCACCCTCTGTCTGAAACCAGAGCCCAGTCTGCTCTGATTGGTTAGCTGGCCGGCTCTGTTGTGATTGGTCAACCGCATAGAGATGTCCCGCCCCTTAGCCCAGGGATCACCAACTACATTTGTCCAAGGGCCAGAATGTATCCAATAGACACTTTCGCGGGCCAGCGATTTTTATATATAGCCCAGAATTTTGAAGTTGTTAATGGGGACGGGGGGCTAGTGGAACACGCTCAGGTACTGCGGAGCGCATAAAGCTTAGCAGAGTCTTCACATTAACGAAGGATCACTTCTAGGCTACTTTCCCGCAGCTGCTGCCTCTCTGTTGGACTCCGGTACTGCACATTACACACCAACGCCATAGTAACCCCCGTTGTGCGCGCCGGATGAGAATGTCTGTCGGGCCGGATGTCAGTTGATGGTCGCTGCCTTAGCCTTTCACGTACAGTGTGCTGGAGCTCTAGCCAATAGAACGCTAGTGTTCAACAGTGATGTCACTATGTTACTGACAAAGGAGTCCAACACAAATATTTTAGCATTTGCAGAACATTTACATTGCACACAAACCTACAGAACACACTAAGCAGGGGTGCCCGCAATTTTTCAGCTTGGGAGCTACTTTTAAAATGACCAAGTCAAAGTGATCTACCTATAGGGCCTGCCCAAAGTCATGTGGTGAGGCCCTGTGTGTCGCGAGGGGGGGGGGGGTGCTAGTGGACTGCGAGCACCGGAACCTCGAAGTGGCGGAGAAACTGTGGCACGCTTACACTTATTGTGCCGCATTTGCGCTTCAGATGAGGAGGTGAGGCCCCCCTTATACCCTTTCTTTAGTAGAAGTGTATACATTGGAAGGCTAACTAGGTAATCAGCTCGCCGGTGTTGTGAAGCTGACACGGTTGACCGTTAGTACGGCAATCAAGTGGCAAATGCCATAGTAAGGATGGATGATAGGCTAACTTTTTTTTCAAAGCCATGCCACCCATGCCAACATGCCACCCACACTACCTTCGCGATCTACGTATTGGGCACCCCTGCACTACAGGAACGGGAAACTCCAAAGAGCATTATAGGCCTCTTTAACTTAAAAAACCCAGCACAAACAACAAATTACAAATGATTTTACTAACAGAATTTGTTGCTTTTGGCCACAATAGTTGTTTAATGATAGTCTGAAATCAACATGCTGCTGGGGATGATGTTAATTACATCCATGACCGGCACCTACCTCCTACTGACAACAACAGGAATGAATAACAATTCAGTGATTTGACTCAATGTGGTGCTGATTGAGGCAACATGCTGCACATATTCTTTGGGCCCTTTATTTCCCACAGCAGTAGAGTGGAGTGTGTGTGAATGCTTACAGCTCTCCAGCTCCAGCGTGCATGTCTGCGAGTCCAAAGGGAAGCGACTGAAATCCATGTTGCACGCAGCAGTCACTGTGACCCTGGGGAAACAGCAGAGTGTTAACATCACCACCAGCTCTGGGCCGGCTCCAACAACGCTGCCAAGTGGCATTTAGTCAGTGTGAAACCGCCCTGTGATGGCAGATATGAGCGTGTGTGGGGGGGCTTCCTGCTGGTGTCCTCACCTCAGGCTGTACAGGACGTGACCGTCAGGGAACACCCGCAGCATGATGTTTTCAGTGGTGGTGTCGTGGATGAAGGACCTCTTGGAGTGGACGAAGAACACATCGGGCACCCAGATCTTCTTCACCAGGCGCCCGTCAAAGGTCATGCTCTTGTTGGTGGTGCTGGGGAAGGCAAGCCTCTCGTCCTTCCAGTAGTGCCTCAGATACAGGGTCATGGTGAAGTCCTGAGGCAGCGGGGGAGGGGCGACAAGCACAAACAGCCTCTGGATTAAGTTGCACTACAAGGACTCACTTGCTGGCCACCTCTGGTTTTTGAAATGACTCTGGGATTACACTGGCTGCTGGATTATATAGAATGCTTATGACTAAACACACACGGGTAAGAGAAGTGCCGAACATATGTTACCTAAGCTTCCATTGGCCCTAGATTACCCTTGTCTTCTCGCCTCCTTCCCCTGTTGCTATGCAAGCCGGAGTGACCCTGCCTCTGCACTACTCAGCGCCCCCCCCCCCCCCCCCCCCACACTCGGCTACAGAGATCATCCCCCATGCCACTCTCCTCATGGCATTACATAAGAGCAGATCCGTTTGGAATAATGGCTGCAGCCGCACATTGTACTCTTGGCACCCACCATACGGCACCTTGATGTTGCGTAAGATGAGTTCAGGGGCATGTCTGGAGCTCTGACTGAGTAATCACTGTAATGTGCTATACCTTCACTCATTTATTTATTTAATCGATTATTTGGCAGGGACAACGCACAGTAATGAACACTTAAAACATTCAAATGTGTCAAGCGTAACAGTGCCAGATTGAGCTTTGAGCTGTTTCAAAGTGTTGGGATTGAAGTGTTCTTGACCCCATATATATAACTGCCAGCAGATTAGCTCTATAAAACCACAATTTAATTATAATGTAGCTGAAAGCTGAATTTCATAATGCAAGACTATTGAAGCTTTGAAAGAAGAAATAATGATGTTTCTAAGAAATGAAAAGTTGAATGTATTAGCTGATGGAGTCACCGCAGGCTACACTCTCACTGCTACACTCTTGTTCTGCTGTAACCTGCAGGGTATCACCGCTATGTTTGCTAGCCTTTACAAATGTGTGTAGAAATGGCTGTGTAGCTCTCTACTTTTGCACTGTTTCAATACATTTCAGCAACTATAATAGTTTTCTTCTGTTGTGCATTATTTGAGCATCTATGATCTTACTGTATCATTACCACAAAACACAGAGTTATATACACCAGCAAAACCCACAGTACAGGCGAGTGGTATTTTCCCTTCTTGTCATCAAATACAATGCACAAACTCAAACCAACAATGTCCTGTATATAAAGCCGGAAATATCTTCCTACTCTGTGCTGTGACGCTTCATACAGAAACACATCAATGAGCCTCACTGCTGCACTCTGACATGTTCCTTTATTACCATGAACACACACTGAGTTTATTTTCACTCAATCTCACACACACTGCTCCTGTAGCTGAAAATAGTCTCCACAAACAGTTCTAGGCTTTGCGTATGCAGCCTTAGCGCATGTATAAATAACTGAATCAACAAAATAACATATGCATCAGTAATGGAATAAGGGTTATCAGTAATGAACCGTTAATACTAAGACTTATATTACTCAAACCCATCTGTGATTCGTTCTGAAATTCATTAAAAAACCTACAGTGGTCGTCAGGTGCAAACTCTTTACCACAAACACAAACTCTTCTTCAGGAGAAATGCGCTGCAATTTCAAAACGATGCAAATATGAAAACACAAATGTGCCAAATCACATGCAAATGAAGAAACATCTTCACCAAGTTGGCCAATTCTATGATCCCTGACCATCACTAAGCGCACCGGTACCAGCTGTGTGCGTCACTTTTTAGTGTCCCCGTTTCCATTGAGTTTCTAGCTGTGTTAGCAGTTTCATTTATGCAACATCTTTAGGAATTGCTGCACATGTTCCGTGAAGCTTGTGATTGTTTACTAAATGCTGCGCATGTGTTGGTGAAGACGTTTCTTTATTTGCATGCACCTGTCGGTCACCGTAGCAACCTGTGCCTTTATTTCATTGACAGTTTTGTAAGAGGGAGAAAGATAGGACGACACGTGGCAAAGTGTCCCGGGCTAGATTGGGACCCTGGGTCTCTGCATGGAGAGGGATCAGCATCACCTTCAACCCATCGGCCCACAGTGGGACTCTGTTATGAAACATGATCTAGTTGTTAGGGCTTTATCGTTCATTAGGGATAAGACAAAGATAGGACCCTTACACTTAATAGTTGTCTCTTAAAAAGTGTACACAAATGAGTTTCTGATGTTATATTTGTAAATCTCCTGTCAGATAGCTAGAATTCATTCTTAGTGTTTAGTTAGTTTAGCTAATCCTCCACTATATGATACAAAATTGTTGTCATTCAAACTTTTTTAGGTAGATATAGACATTTACAAATTGTAGATACAACTTTGTATCCAGGCGATCATCCTTCCTACCTTGCCACAGCCCCTTCCTCCTGATGGATTACTTTAAATGCTAGTAGTCAGCTGTTTTAGGTATACTGAGCTAGCAAACATTTAAACAACTTCTTAAACTAATCCCTGCTTGAAACCGTTGCATTACATTTGCAATACTCCACCAATCCAGATGAAATAGCTCGTTTTTAGTGAGTCCTATTAACATCGATATGCTTTGAACGCGTTTCCCTCCCAATAAAACAGCCAAGAGTGTTTGCTGCGTAACTGTTAAGCATCCTGCAGCTTTGTGATATGACATAATGTCATTAAGGGCTGCCGTCATCTGGAATCATTCATTTTTACCCCCCCCTGTTCCAAAACAATTAAATACACACTGGGATTCAAATGAAATGTAATCCTTGGCTGTCCTTGGAAACGGGAGCTTACACAACATCAGGACAGCAGTTCAGATCCAATTTATGGTTGCAGGACAGAAGGTCTCTTTAATTACATTAATCAACATTCAGTCTGGGTTTGAGCAAAATAAACAATTCCTACCATTGAGCTTTCATAATCTAATTCTGATTATCCAACTGAAAACAACATCTGAATGACTCAAAGTTCATCTGTCAGTACAAAGCAGAGAAGCCTTCTGATGCAGTGTCAGAACACAGATAACCGCAGAAAACTTTAAATATAGGAATCATCTATATTCCGGCTCTGATCTTCAGTCACAAACTGGGACTGAGAAGGGTGGTCCTACAATCTGAGTCACTGTGTCTCATGTGTCCATCCTCACGCTGCTAATGGAGAACGTTCCTGCTCATTAGCCTCCGTGTCTGAGTGGAGCTGCCCCATGTGTTGGAGCAGTAGGAGCTCCATTGTTGAAGTCAGCAACTTTACTGAATCTGTCCCAGATTAACTGCTACATGCGCTACCAGAGACATCATCCGCTGGGATAGTAGCAGTAATAATGACATCATATTTTGTACATCCTGTATAATCTCCTTACTTTGAGGTTTCTGTTGGTCTTTGCGTCTAAAACAGAATGAGTAATTCTGTAGTTTAACATCCAAACTCAATGTATATTCCAATAAGTGTCTGCAGATTTCAATTATTTTTGCAGATTACATCTAATCCATTTCCCCCATAATCTTACTGTGTGTACCATATGGCGTTCAACACATTTAAGCCACTTACCATGTCCACCTCTGATATGCTGTCCAAGCTCTCCACCTGGACATCCACTCCAACAGGGACAGCTGGACCTGCAGAGGAACACCACACAGATTACAGTTTCTGACCATAAAGAGTGCCTCAGACACATTGAAACATACAAACAACGTGTGGAATTGGATCCAAGACTTGAAGAATAAGAAGAACCTAAAAGTACAGGAGTGTATAATTAAGCAATCATACACGAGAGCGCCGAGGTCCGTACGCCTGTACTGGAGCAGTGGCGTAGCCAGGAATTATTGTGTGGGTGGGCCTGGAGAAATGTAGGTGGGCCAGGGGGAGACATATTAAGCGTGGGGTCTGAGCTGAAACTTCATTAATGATTTTTTAATGCACTAATAGAACATAAGCATACATTAGCAGTGAAAAGAAAAAACATAGGCACGGCGGCCTCAGAATGTGAGTAAAACTGACATCCACATAGGGATGGGTATCGTTAAGGCTTTAACGGTACTACTACTTTTATCGATAGCACTTATGCTTATGCTCCAGGTTCAGTACCAACCACATCATAAAGTACGCGGACGATACAACAGTGGTGGGACTCATCAGGGACAACAACGAACAGGCCTACAGGGAGGAGGTGCTCTGTTCTCCCTGCTGCCCTCCGGCAAGAGGTTCCGCAACATTAAGAGCAGAACAGCCAGATTCTGCAATAGCTTTTTCCCCCAAGCCATCAGACTGCTGAACAGCAAGTAGACCAGTAACATAAAGATTACATTACGCTGTGTAAAGAGCACATATTTGTTATATAGTATGTCTATTTTATTTATATGTATAGTAAGTCTTTATATTTTAAACGCACACTTTATCTTTAATTTTATCAGCACCACGTCACTATTATTTATTTATATGTACAATTTTAGCAAGTTTTTACATTGTCCTGTTCCTGTAAGCCAGTACAGCGATATTTCGTGTTAATAGTACACTTTGTGTCTTGTTGAAATGACAATAAAGTATGTCTGTCTTATCGATCCGGTCCTTTAACATTACTCTTATCGGTTCTTTTGGAGAAAAAAATAAAGTAAACTAACTAAACAAATTGTGAACAAAACTAACATTGCTTTTTATTTAAATTAAATACATAATATTTCACATCAAAAGAAACAACAATGTTTTAACAAATCGTATTAAATAATGTGATGACTGAACTGTAAACAGAATAGCTGAAACTTTAACAAACTAAATAACTCAGTTACCTCTAATCATTAACCCATGTTTGTATCATGTAGTTAACTCCGTGTGTTGCTGCTAGCATACATAACACCTGACGTGGAAACGTTACTCGTGGATGGGGCTACAGAGCTGCTAGAAAGACGGTCGAGACAGGTATAGTTTAACCACACCTCGGAGCGCGTTCTCTCCGTCATCTCCTCCGTGTGTGTGTGTGTGTGTGTGTGTGTGTGTGTGTGTGTGTGTGTGTGTGTGTGTGTGTGTGTGTGTGTGTGTGTGTGTGTGTGTGTGTGTGTGTGTTGCTGCATGTAGCAACTGCGTGTGTGTAAACTGCCCCGCCCCCTCGCACACAGACTGGGGAGAGATCTCTTGTCTATGTCTGGACCGCTGTGTAAAAAGGAGGGTTTCTGCCCCATTACTTCTCCGCTGCTTTCGTGTTCCAGTTTGAATTGCTTTTCAGCCCAACGGTATACTGTTTTTCTCAGACGCGGAGGGATACTGACTTGTTGTGAAAAGTAATTTACAATTCTACCCGTGGTATACGCTCATTATATCACGGCTAAGAACCAATCAGATTGCTTGATTTGACTTGTCCGTTTTATAATGATATATAAACAATGTTTTTAAAATCTTAAAGAGGCCCTAGTATGCTCTTTGGGGTTTCCCTTTCCTACATGTATGATATACGTTTTTCTGAATGTAAATGGTCTGCAAAGGCTAACATCCCTGTGTTCCCTCCAGAGGGAGTTTCTCTCCCAGTTTCTCTTCTCCTCTTGTGTCTGAACTGACACTCTGAGGAAGAACAGAAATGAGATGTTATTGGATTTGAGTAGAGAAATGATTTCACACACACATAACAAGATGGAATATACTGCTAAGCCATAAATAATTACTCTAATCATTTCTTTAAAAAAAAAATGTCATTAAACAGAACACAATATTCTCATAGCTGTTCATATCTGATTGAGAGGATTATTGAAGTGCCCAGTTTGGGATTTACATTTAGATGGAAGAGTGTACTAGTACCCTTCTCATCAATAGCAAAACAAATTCACACAGCCTTCTGCCCCTGGTGTATTAAAGGCACATTGACCGCTGTAATACTGTTAATCTGAGCAGCGTGAGGGGGCCAGCCTTACGTAACCGGTGGCAAAGCTGCTACCTGGGATGAAGGATATCAGCTCATGTCCGCTTCCAGCTGTCGGCAGAGTGTCCTCCCTACTCTTACTCACACCATATGCCACACATCACGTGCCAGATCCAGCAGAGCCTGAGCTCCTGACATGTTGCCTCATGGGAGAGAAAAGGAGACACCTGCTAAGAGGGGGGGCCAGCGGGGCACTGGGGGCCACAAGGGGGGCCACAGGCAGAACCCATTCTGCGCGGATCTCAAGACACAGAAGAGGGGAAAAAAGGACTCTCCAGAAGAGGGATGTAGCCAAAGACGGCAAAGGTACACATATCCTTCACTCAAGTAGAAGTACAGATACTCATGTTTAAAAATGCTCTGGTAAAAGTTGAAGTACTGACTAAACTTCTTGAGTAAAATTACAGAAGTATGGGCTTTGAAATGTACTTAAGTAAAAAGTAGCCAAGCCAAGAGTCAAGCTAGTAACTGGACCTCACTTTATATTAATAGAACATTAAAAAGCTTCTATTTCAAATTGTTATTGTCATATAAACAAATAATCAATTGTTTTTTCTGTATAACATTATGGTGAAATAGGCGTGCGATGATAATAATGATGTTTTGAAAATGTATAAAGGACAGGTATTTGTGAAAAAAAAATTGAGGAGTAAAAGTAAAAAGTTAATAAATATTAAAAATAAATAGTGGAGTAAAGTACTGACACAAGGAAAATCGACTTCAGTACAGTACTAACGAAGTATTTGTACTTCACTACTTGGGACCTCTGGATGTAGCTGAGAGTTTCCAGTGCTTCAATGCTTTGGCTCAACAAAGAAAATCAACGCAACAGCATGAACACATTTAACGCAGAATGCTTGCTCATTCATTTGTTTCCCTCGACCACGATGGTTGCCATCGTATGGTCAGATCCTGGGGTGGACCGGTCACTGATGAAGGCGATATTCATGTCCTTTTGAAGCACATTAAATCATAGGTTAGCGCATCAGAGATAATGAATTAGGTAATTGCATACTTTTTAAACTGTCAGTCTTAGCGAATTCAGAGCCATTATTTCATTTCATTTCAAACCTTTATTTATACAGATAAATCCCATTGAGATCATTGATCTCTTTTTCAAGGGAGACCTGCATTATTACCAGCTGCTAAAGCAACGCTGGTATTGTTTTCACCTATTGAGTCTGCATGTGTGTGTCGTCATGGCAATGTGGTCCTGAAGACACACAGGTGCTTTTGAGTACTTTGCCTAGTGTTTAAATGAAGCTCAGCGTAAATTCTTTCAGGAAGACTTTTAGATTTTTACTCTCACAGTAGCCTCTACTACTTTGTACCCTCTCACAGATCTATTCACAGTTCAAAGGCTGCTAATTTTGGTCAAACAGTGCAACTACAAGGCTATCTACTATATTTGAATGACAAAAGATGACACTCACCTTAAAATGTCCTTTGTATATTTCTATTTGTCTTAACTGTGGGAACTTGTCCAGGCCTGTTAAGTGGGAGTGGACTTGAAATCCTTAACTCAAGGTGTAGAACAATGAAGTTATCAAGCCAATTGCATTACTTACTACTTGAATTTAGTTTGAAGTCAATTAACGCAGAAATCAGAGTTCAAATGACACACAATATTAAGTTGATGTAATTACCAACATTATTCCGTCAACACAACTTATAAATTAATGTTTGCAACTTAAAATGTTTATCTAAATCAATTAATCCAAATTTGTATCTTGCAACCATGCATTTAATTAAGTGGTGGCAAAAGGTCCCTTGAATGACTTTTTAGAGTGCAGATTGAGGCTGAAGAAGTGAGGCTCATGTGTTCAGGCAGGACGATCACTGCGTGTCCTGCATGTGGGTCCGCCGGAAGATTTCCATTTGCTATTTTGAGCTGACAGCATCAGCGAATTATTCCACGTCACTGATTATCAGATGAGACCAACGAATGCGTCATAGCCAAGCCCCGCATCATAACTCCTTTTGGCCCTTGCAACCCTCAGTAGCACTTCCTGTTTCAAATGGGACATGAAGCACACTGAAAAAACTGAAACGTGACTTTAATTAAATGTATTATGTCAACAGATTTCACATGACTGTATATGGTTAGATGAAAGCAATAATATTGAGTTGAACCTACAGTATTTAAGCTTAATAGTATTGCTTTCAACTAACCTACATGTGAAATCTGTTGACATAATACATTTAATTAAAGTCACGTTTCAGTTTGTTCAGAGTGAGTCAGCCAGTGTTCTCCCCCTGACCTCACAGTGCCACAAACAGGAACACTGCACTCTAAAAACGAATTCAGGCGACCTTTCACCTCCACTTAATTAAATGCATGGTTGCAAGATAAAAATGTGAGTTAATTGATTTAGATAAACATTTTAAGTTGCAAACATTAATTTATAAGTTGTGTTGATGTAATAATGTTGGTAATTACATCAACTTATATTGTGTTTAATTTGAACTCTGATTTCTGCGTTAATTGACTTCAAACTAAATTCAAGTAGTAAGTAATGCAATTGGCTTGATAACTTCATTGTTCTACACCTTGAGTTAAGGATTTCAAGTCCACTCCCACTTAACATGCATGGACAAGTTCCCACAGTTAAGACAAATAGAAATATACAAAGGACATTTTAAGGTGAGTGTCATCTCTTGTCATTCAAATACAGTAGATGGCCTTGTAGTTGCACTGTATGGCAAATTGCTGTT